TATCATGGAGAAACAATGAATTCAAGGGTGAGGGATGATCAAATTTTGTGCGAAAATGCATTGATTTTTTGAAATAAGAGAAATGGACCCATATGAGTGCATGATTATAATTTTGCTTGATGTATTTAAAGTCATGAAAGAGAATAAAAATGGTATAAGTACATTAATAGGCTAACCGATGACTTAAAATGTGGGTGCAGTTGTGGCTAGATGGAAGCATTTTTAAAGGATTTTGCATATAGAACTGTGCATGCTGTAAAATCTTTATTAATGATTGAATTTTCCTGAAATTTGGCATAGTGTCACTACATAGACTGTAGTATGACTTATGATGTAAAATGTTGTAAAATCCAGAAAATACTTTTTCATATTGGGTACATACCTCTAATTATTTTTAGAATCGGTAGGGGAAGAAAGTAGTGCAGAAAAAATTACAAGTTCCTTAATTTGCAGACCTGAATAAAAAAAACTGTGATAATGTATTAAACTGAGCCTCATACTTGTTGATAAGGAGTATGTTCCCTTGCAAAAAAGCCTGGCAGATGTAATTTATCAATAAGATCAGCAGAATTATTTTATGTATTATAACACCAGTGAGAAGTCTGGAATTCCCCTACTTTCACTTTCATTTTCAGAGGTTAACGCAGACAGACGCATTTTGCCGGAAAACGAATCTGACATGCCACCTCGAGATTTTAACCAAGGAAAGACAACTTGATGTGCTTTGATTTGAGGGGTCACTCACTGCTGAACGAAAATTAGGGACATTACTATGTGAAGAAACGTTAACATTGCCGCCTATGGGAAAACAATTAGTGGACTGTACCCAACTAGATAGCGTATCTTTATATTTACATTTATATGTGAAATAAAAATTTAAACATAAATTTTAAAAAATGCTGTCTAAAAAAGATTGAAATTCTCGAAATTCTAGAAGCAGAACATGATCATTTCCATAGTTCCAACACACTGAGGCACTCGTTTGTTGCAAAAATGTTACACACAACTCAGATTTATAATTTCATATCATATTTTATTTATAATGGTTATTGGGGAAAAAATAAATATTACTTTTTAGTTTAATATACGAAACAAAATTAATAACTGTATAAAATCTTATGAAAATTGTCAATATCCATTTAATTCTATTGAATTTTTAATTTTGAACCCTTCATTTTTTCATTGAAGACCTGATCAAACTTCTTATTCTGTTCCTCAGTTAACATCGATTTCCAATCACCAACCCTCCTGTAGTATGAAAAGAAAACTACAGAATGTGTAATATAAAAATGTAATTGTTTCTTCAGATGGGTATATATATCATTTGGATTCATATCTGAAATTCATTTACGAATTAGAGCACAATAGTTTTCACCTTTTCTATAGATAAACTTCCACATTGTATCCTTTTCTCTTTCTTTTACTTTTGCAAAGGTACATTCATCATAAACAGACAGAAGAAATTTAGGATCAGACGAGGATCCAAGAAAATTGGATATTTGTCGCATCGTCTCCATAGCATTCTAAATTAAACATTGAAAACAACATAGGTCCAGTATCTTTTAATTAAAGAAAAAGTGGCATTAATTACAAAAGAATGCCTCGGGATGTTAACGCAAAAAGTCACTTTGTTGAACATACTTTCTTAATATTGCTTACCAAGTTTTGAAGGTCAGTGCTCTAGCCTGTTTGCAGTGACACTTCTCTACAGGTTGCACAACAGTATTAAATTTTGCTATATATTCTTACCAAAAATGCGTAACTTTGAGTAGGTGGTATTAATTTAAAACAAACTTTTGAGAAGTTTCCTTTTCAGATCTTGTAAAACAATTCTTTATAAAGATTTTAGTACCAAAAAATACATAGCCATCCAGCAAGGCACGCAAGTTTGTCTCGCTCGAAGTCGAGCAGGTGCTTGAAAATCAAGTCCAGGACCTAATCACTCCCCACTCAAATACAGTATATAGAAAATTCAGCACGCCCTAAATTTTAATGAATCTAGTCAATATAGGAAGTTTACATATTGTTTTTCATCTCATAAAAAAATTCAGCTCCAGTCTCGTGTTAAAATGCCCAAATCGGAAGGGAAGATTCAGGAATTATTTTGCGTCAGCCATGATTTGACGTGAACCTCAAGTGAAATACTGTTATGACACCTGCACATGCCCCACATAGGTCTCACCAATGCGCTCTGCACAGGCATGTGCCTAGGAACACAATATTGCTCACACTGCAGAAGACAATAAATGACACCATCCAAAAGAGCGTAAAATTTCGAATCAAATGAGTGTTTCAAGTGCCAAATTGCACCAAAAATGACCGAGATATGACCATTTTAAGAATCTCACCCCGTCACTTTTAGTAACGATTCATTCCGCTTATCCAAGAGACCACTATGACGTCACAGTAAAAACATTCATTGTTCTAACAAAACTTCAAACAAACGCTAAAAAGTCATTTATGCATCGATTTTCAGGCGGTTTTGAGTGTTGTGTTCGGTTTAATACTCTTTTCCGCATCCAATGAATCTATTTTCAACGTTCCGACACCTCAGATGACATGAAAATAAAGCTCACCTATTCGCCTTTTTTTATTTAGTCAATTTGAGTGCTGTGTGCTCACTTATCTCAATCCAATCGGCGTTAAGCGACAAACTTTGCACAGATCTTGTCTCGGACACCTAGATGTATACGTATTTTGCACATAAGATCTTCATAATAGACAATCAGTTTTTTTTCTGGATTTTGTCGTGCTGCCTCTTCCCACTCTTTCTCTCTTTCAAACCAACTTCCATAGTAACAGTCTAAAAAATAGATGAAATATCAACAAAGAATGCATAAGACATTCTTAATGTCTCGGATAATTTATTGATATATTTTAAGGATCTAGGGTTTTGTTAGCATATTGACTATCTACAAGGTTTTGGACAATGTACTGTTACGAATTCGGCATTCTCCTCTATGGTTATGAGCAAGTAAACAAATGACACTTTATTTCTTGTGGAATGAGTCATTAAAATAATGAGTGGATGAATGATTGGATGAATAATATATACTGATGTTTTATTTTCATTTAGTAATTGTTATTATTAATTAAAGACAGGATCTTGATAAGAAAATGCCGTATAGTGTACACCTCATTCCGAATTTCCTTCATGTGACTAGGGAAATTCAACACACAATGTAAATACACCATTAATGGTTCAATAACTACATTATTATACAGCTGAATATGCTTACCTCTGGTAATTTGGATAAATAATGAGACTCTCTATTAATTTGGGTAAAACCTTACAATTACACTTCAGTTTTCATATTGAGCGGTAAAAGCTGTAAAGTACGTTCGGAACACCTCGGATGAGTATAGTAAACTAACTACACCGGAAGTGTTCCAGTAATTTGAAGTTATGGCGCCAAATCGTCATGCATTGGACATCATACAGGGTCTAACTGGTATAAATACGAGCTCCGCGGGCTCTGACAGACAGAGTCTGTAGTCTCACTCACAGAGAGGTTCTACCTCAGACTATTAACCTGAACAATGACGCTTGCAGAGCAGAGTTCTGAAAAATTTAGATGGGTAATTATCATTAACCTAACCTAATACTAAATTTGTTAGCAACTTTTGATTGCTTTATTATTGTGTCTGCATTTTACAAGTTTCTCTCAGACAGAAGTAGTGATCTGAACTCACCATTGTTGGTTACTATTTACTCAGGCACAAGAAGTGACCTAAAATTGATATTATAAATCCTGACATTATTAACAAAGGCATGGTGCATTGTATTGAATTTTTCTGAGAAATCAGCATAACTTTTTGTCCCTATACAAATAGTTGTTTGCTATAACCTCTGATATTTTATTCTTATACTTGCTGGTGAAGAAATCACTAGTTCAATCTATTAACTTAGACCTAAAGGTATTAGGTCTATTTGTGTTTACTAAAGGGTTTGTTCAAGGGTGGTTTAAGAATTAACATTTTTGGTGGAAAGGATGGTTGGTTTATTTTTATTTCAGGTGCAGACTGCAGAGCCAAATAAGAGTTTTTGTGTATATTTATTTGAATAAAATCTAATAAAATAATAAAAACAATTTATATCCTGTTGTCTTTCATTCAACATTCAGATTAAGGAGCCCCACAATGTTACGCCGCTAAACATAGACAGCTGTAAGCTGTAACACATCTTTCAGAATTATATTATCATAACAATCAAACATTTCATCTTTTAAGTGTCTTTGTATCTTTGGGAGTAATATCTATATCTATATCTATATATATATATGAATTCATTCACTAGATAAAATGATACTTTTGACATGCTATCTTACAGTACATGAATGATCAATAGATTAGACCATTAGATGTCCTAATTTGATAATTTTATTTATCAGGGTGAAGAAAACTCTATAACATATCACCTTTCAACTCTTTGAGGTAGCATTTAGTATTACATTTCCGGGTGTAGCGTTGAATAACATTCAATAGCTTTTTACAATTGAATGACCGTTTGAGCTTCACTGTGCTAAAGACCGTATATAGACTGCTGTGTAGATGTAAAATCATTACTTTTAGAGAATTCGAAATCACATTTTTTTTCACAATCAACGGCATCACAATATGTATTTCAAGATTTTATACAACCCTTCCTCACGACAAATTAAGGATTAGTCCTTTTGACATCAAAGTACGCTTAGTTTACACGATGTTGGAGTTTCTCATTAACAATTTCTTTGATGTATTTGGAGACCAGTTCTTCAAACAATGCGTTGGAATCCCTATGATCACATACTGACCTACTTTATAAGCAGACCTGTTTTTGTATTCTAACGACACATAGTGACACATAAAAAATGACTGTGGATGGATGAATGAGATATCCTAAAACTTAAAAAAATATTAGCCAAGGATCAAACAATAGAGACTAGTTTAATTAACCAGGAGGAACCACATACTAGTAGTCCTCTCAGTTAAATCAATTAAAGAAAGCATAAATGTGTTCAAAAACACACTTTTATTCTGCTGCATCATATTATTAAACATTTGCGAATATAATGGCAAATATACATAAATGCTTTAAAAGCTGCATAAACCTTTAATTTGACAAGATAAAGAGTACACAAAAGATTAACAAATACATTTTTTAGATAGTCAATTCTTTTTTCTAGACTTTTTTTTTCAAAATAATGTCTGCTGAATTTTAACATTAATAAATCTTTAATGTACATACACATAAAATATTTTATTCAAGTCTTCTTTGTTAGCGGTATCATGTATTTGTGATCATGTCAGAACTGGTTTTATCTTTCTTAACGTTGTGGTTTTGTTTTTGGTAAAATAATCAGAAAAAAACGCAGAACATAACTCTTTATATAGTAACATAACTCTTTATATAGTAACTTCGAATTAATGAAACAATATTTCCTTTTTATACATTTTTTTCTTCATTTTACTGAGTACATGCGTCGCAAAAATGTCACACACAACATAAATTTATGCTTCCAAATAATTTCATATGATATATTGGTGATAAGGGAATACATAAGCAAGTTAAATATCAGGAAAAAAATTGATAAATATACAAATTAAGTCCTTTAAAAATTGTTCAAAACCATTTACTCCCATTGTATTTTTAATTTTGAGTCCTTCATTTCTTCATTGAAGACCTGATCAAAGTTCTTGCTCTGTTCCTCAGTAAACATCGATTTCCAATCACCAACCTCTCCTGTAGTATGAACACGATATTTCAGAATGTGTACTACATGTATTAAAGGTTGTATCTTTTTCTTCACATGCATTTCATATTTATCAACTGGATTTAAAACTTTTTCATTTCATTTTAAATTTAGAGTATTTTAGTTTCAACCTTTTCGGTAGATAAAGCTCCATATTGTATCCTTTTCTCTTTCTTTTACTTTCTCAAAGGTACATTCATCATAAACAGCCTGAAGAAATGTAGGATCGGACGAGGTTCCAAGAAAATTGGATATTCGTCGCATGGTCTCCATACCATTCTACAGTAAACATTAAAACAAATATAGGTCCAGTATCTTTTGAAGAATAAACGGCAAGAAGTTCAATGCACGCCTACGGAAATAAATACAAAATGTCACTTGTAGAACATACTTTCTTAAGATCTTCATAATAAACAATCAAAATTTTTTCTGGATTTTGTCGTGCTGCCTCTTCCCACTCTTTCTCTCGTTCAAACCAACTTCCATAATAACTCTCTGTTTAAAATAAAACATTAAATGAATGCTACTATCTCAACAAAGAATTATATGACATTTATAATTTCTCAGCTAAACTATTCATGCGTTCTTAGTATCTTTGTTTTTGGAGCATATTGAAACTACAAGGTTATGGACAAAGCGCAAGTAATTGCACCACTGTGATCGTAATGGTCAAATGATAACAACTTGATCTTGTCAGAAAACAACAATGACTTCAACTTACCCCCAAGTAAAAAATCGTCAAAGAAATTTGACCAATCTGGAAGCCAGTAGTCTTTAGTTATTGGATCGGTTGTGAAATGATAAAAAGAAGACATTGCAATGTCCTTCGGGTTACGAATGCAGTGGATAATTTTCCCGTTGTTTTCCTTTGGAATATATTTAACTGGGACATGGGAAGTCATTATTCGAGGCGAAGGAAGATTTTCCAATTCCTGTAGATCTGGCATATACTCTAGGAAGGTGTCTATCAATTTGTGAGATGTGTCCAGACATGAATGCTGAAGGCGGGGCACGATTTCATTCAGCCAATGGTGTCCTTTTTGAAAATAAATGAAGTATTATCATGATGTCCAATTTCATCTCCCCCCCCCCCCCTCACACACACACCCAAAATCATCATAAAGCATATAATAAAATAAAAAAAAGTTTATGAATGCAATGATATTCTTTGTTAAATCATCTTTTCCTTTCCATTAACTAGAAGACAGTGCTATTACATTAAATGGAGCATATAAATTCGGTGAATTTTCGGGCCTCTCAAAAATGCATAATTTTGCCAATACCATTAATTACAATTATATGTTATTGTACTTTCAACATGAAATTTTTTTTATCGTTTTCATTTTTCTCCTTTTTCCCTTTAATAACATAACTCTTTTGTATCTTTCAATACAACTAATCAAAAATGAAGTTGTCAGAAGGAAAATAATTGTGCCTGTATGAGTATCTCCTACTTTTACTGAATTGCTAATATAGTACCCGCAACGTTATTCTTCACATAATATACGATAGGATAGGATACAAAAATATTAAAGTCCAGGTTTTTTTTTTTTTTTTACATCATAAACAGCTGCTTTTTCAATAAAAATGGAACGCGTAGATTTACTTACCTTGTCATTGCTCATTTGCAAAATCATTTTTATCATTATTATTAAAAGTATTCTGATTGTACACAAAAGTATTCTGATGTAGATATAAAAAAACGTTCTTGAGTTTCTGATTGACGATATCTATGTAGTTTTTGGATATCAGGTCTTCCAAAAATCTATAAGGTTTTCCATGGGTACTTATTGCGCCCCGTTATTAGCAGACCTATTTTTGTATTTATATGAAGCAGAATTTATTCAAAAACATACTGAGAAGAAGAAAACACTTGCCATGGCCTTCAACTCGACATTGATCCCACTGTGGAACGTGGAGACCGGTCCTTCGGATGAGACCGTATAAACCGAGGTCCTGTGTCGCAGTAGCTATATATAGTTGCTGGCACGAAAAAGATCCCTCACTGCTCAATGGACCTGATTGCCGAGTACAGGTCAAAATTTGCAGCTCTCCACCGGCAAGTGGAGGCTGCTCCCGATTTGTATTGCTTCAGTGGACTTTTGAGCTTGATTACTGTTCGTCATCTCCATATTTCATACACATACCATTCGATAGGATACATGCACGATACAATAGAGTTCACCTAGGGTACGACAGGATTAACGGTTTTCACTATAAACTCAAAACCCGATAAACACAAAATCTTATAAGTACAATTACGATAAACACGATACCTGAGAAACGCAAAACTTGATAGGATATATGATTGGTAAATTAAAGTAGAGATAAGTGTTTTACAAAACGAAATATTATATGTATCCTGATTAACTTTCTTTTTTTATTTCGTTAATAATCGGATTTATGTAGTGAATGCGTTATAAATCCCTTTATCACAGAGCACCACGTGGAATGATGCGCGCGCAATATATGCGCAAGCATTTGTACATTCCATTCTCACACCATTTCCAAATGTTACACGTTTAGGGTTTGCTGTGAATTTTTAAGAAAATTTAGAATATTGTACAATGACATTGTCAAAAGACTATGGAGTACAAAGACGAGTTTTACTGATTGTTTGCACTAAATGCACCGTTAGTGTACTTCAACATTGCTAGAGTTTTTGACTTCGCGCCGAAGGGCTGTAAGGAGCGTATGGATGTTAGCCGAGGCTCTTACTTGTAGGAGTAATGTTGCTGTAAATATTGACCAAGATGTCCACATCTATAGTCGCTAAATCCAAACAAGGCATTACAAAATGGAGGGAGAGAATAACGGCAATATTAGCAATGAGGAGGACCTGCATAACACTACACATAGCACAAACGGTATGTCATCTTGTATGCCTACATCAATTGTTAGTATAATATTTTCACTGTTGTATCAATTACATTTTTAAAAAATCCACAAAAAATACTAAATGGACAGTTAATCGATCAATCTGTTAAAATCAGTGGGAAAAGGCAAGAATAAGCTAATCATTACAATTGGTCTGTATTGCAGTTAGTAGAATCTAAATTTAAGCACACCCCCTTCAACCGCAGAGTTTAGAGCAATATAAATATAATTATGCACACGATAAGATTGGGTGACTTGAATTAATTTAAGCTCAGACTCCTAAGATCACGCGCTCGGCATCGTCGGTCATTGTTCCGATGTTGTAAGCGCCCGAGTATGTACTTCATGGAGCCTTAATGTTATCGATATATGAGGCTAAAATAATAAGACTAATTTATTTATTCATTAATCAATGAGCTTTGAAAGGGGGGCATGTATAATTGATAAAAACAATACAATTACGTGCAATATTAACCTGATTCTTATTCGTATCATTTAACTGTCCTCGCTAACATCCCTCATACAATTGAAAGACCAGTGTTTTGATGTCAACTATAGTTACTTATTGTGCATATATGTGCACATTGTTATAAACATGTATTTTAAGCTTGTTCTCCCTTTGATTAACATCTTCGTTTCCGTCCTCAACAAATCAGCAACCCCGGCCTGGGGAAACACTTTTTGAAACAGAAAACCTTAAATTTCGTTACTCCTAGGCATTCAATTTAATAAACATCGGTCATTCTTAAGTAAATATTAAACTACTTTCAATATTTATGCATGTCATGTTCCACCAAAGCAAGAATTAGGCGATGAGTTGAGAAATGGTTTTAATTTAATTTAGGGCGCATGGAGTGAAGAGCAAATTAATTAATTAATTATTTGATATTAATTTCAGCGGATCTGTAACAAATTCAGTATATGTTCCTGAGTGAAATCGTTATGGGCAATAATGGCTGTTCCCTTTTCCTTAACACCTCTATCAAAACTAGGCCCGTAAATCAGGGAGGGGGATCAATATCCACATAACAATAAAGCCAAAATTTTATAGATGGAGGGCCATAATCGGTATGATAGCATCATTGATGAGATCTTTACCTGGCAAAATGGATACAAAAATCGTTTTAGACTATTGTCAAGAAAACCAGATGATTTTTTGCGTACTTGGCTTCGAATAACTACTATGTCAAACGCCTTCCATTTGTTGTTATATATCGTCACAAATAAATAAATAAATAAATAAAGTGATTAATAAATTAATTAAACACAAATGAAATATTATCTTTTTTCGATGGGCAGTCATGTCACAGTCTGGTACGAAATATGAAACGCACTTCTTTATCTTGATGTCTCTGTTTTGAAAGTTCAGCTAACTCCGACATTTGCTCAAAATTGATGACACGTTTGGCGATTTTTGTCAGCATTGGGAATTCTTCAATGTGTTGAACATTTGTTCCCGTCACAAAAATTAATTCATCTGGGTTTGGAAATTGATACATGTCAAGTTTTTATTCTGACGAAAAGCTAATTAAACCTAAGATTGTGCTGATAGGAAGGGCCAATAAATCTTAAAAGTCACTTCAAATGAAATGCAATTCTTTCAGTGCCGTCTTCCCGCGCTGTTACCAGCGCTCCCAAGATGCAATGATTGGCATAAAAATGCAGCAGCTTTTCATTCGTATAAAGACCATTTATTTTTATATCATTTAAAATTTTATCACTTTATATTCATTTCTTTCCGATAAGGCTGATTAAGCAGTAATATTCTTTAGCTGAGCACGATAAGCGCAGACAGAAGGCATACTGGCTGCGGGAAAACCAGCATATGATTATACACCTATAGTTGTAGTAAAGTTATTTTGGTTACGATTAGATCACACAACTTTATAAACAGACGTCAAAATATGTAAGATCTATACAGTTTGGTTTGGTGTTTAGTATATTTATAAATGACTTATACACGTTTTTAGATTTTACCTTGTTTAATTGAGATCTCCATCTTAGAGTTACTTGATCACATTTCACATGTTATCATCACGGAAGTACTATTTCATTATCAACATTACTTACATATACAGTGTCAAATTGTACAATATACAAACACATGTACTGTAGATTATTTAGTATACACATAAATTGTCTGTGCTATTTGTAATTGTAGAAATCATGCTTGTTGTTTGTGATGCCTGTCATTGCATGAAAGGGCCCTGATTTGGAAATAAAGAATCTTATCTATCATACTATCATCATCAATAAATAAATAAATAAATAGTGTATTCCATCTCATGTTCTGAATAATGTTAATATGTATCCAACAGTAGATAATTAACTATCTTTAGTAAGAAACCCTTTTTGTACTAAGCACTTTAAGTTCAAACTCGGCATTGCATAGAAGGACCTCGTTATTAACGAGTACTTTCATCACGTAGACGTTAAACTGCAGGGGGGGGGGGCAGTAGGGTAAAGAAACACAATTACTCTCTGTATTGTTAACTATTAGTCATGCACCATTATTTAGAGCAAACATTCCTGGTAATTATACCCTCCGCAAACGAAGTTTAGGGGGTATATTGGAATCAGCATGTCCGTCTGTCTGTCTGTCCGTCTGTTTGCAGACGAGATTTTGTCCGGACCATTTCTTGGAAACTGTTGCAAGAATTTGTCTGAAAATTTGTACACTTATTACTCACCATATGAAGGTGTGCACCTGGTATTTTCATCATGATTGGATTTTTTTATTTTATTTTATTTTATTTTATTTATTATTTTTTTTTTATTATTTTACAGGTGTTTTTTTTTTCATTTTTATTGTGTGGTTTTGTTCGGATCTGTTCCCAGAGACTATTGCATAGATTTGTATGAAAATTTGTACACTTATTATTTACCATATGAAGATGTGCACCTGGTATTTTCAACACTATTTGATAATTTTTCTGCCTTTTACAGGTGTTTTTTTTTTTATTGACTTAGTCATTTCAGGTTCATGTCTAAGTTTGAGACATAGAATCTAGAACATCTGTACAAAAATGTGAACTACAGCTTAAAACTACTCATTAGAACTAAAAAAAAATCACGAAGTATTAAAAACAGTTTTTACATTACACAGCAGATAGTGTAAATCCATTTGTCCTTTGGGAGTAATGAGTGAACATGCCTCCA